TGTTAAGTACCTTTTATTTTGAAGCTGCATTAATGTTGGACAAAGATGTTATTATGATTCCGCTGCGTAGTTGTTCAAGTTGTTGGTTTGAAAGATTAATTTATTTTGATGTTGGTTCATCCAAAGTTTTAAAGTGTTATGTATCCATGTTGAATGTAATGGTTTTTAAGTTGAATTTGTGGCATCCTAATTAGTTGTATAATTTTTATAACTCTGATTTACATTTATATTGTCGGGTAGAATTGGGGTGTTACAATGTTGGTATCAGAGCAAGTCGGTCCATCCGACCAAGTTGTCGATTCGTAGTTTTACTTAACAAACGAGTATTGTTAATTTGAGTTATAACCGTTGTTTATGTTGAAGAGATAAGTTGAGATGGCTGGAAGGAATAATGCTGCACTTGCTGCTGCTTTAGAAGCAATAGCGCATGCGATGGAGAATGAGCCGAATGTTGACAGAAATGCTGGATCTCGTAGTTTGGCGACTTTCCAGAGAGAGAATCCGCCTACCTTTAAGGGCAAGTATGATCCTGACGGAGCATTGGATTGGTTGAAAGAGATTGAGAGAATCTTCCGTGTGATGAACTGCACTCTAGCGCAGAAGGTTCGATATGGTACTCATATGCTAGCAGTCGAAGCTGATGACTGGTGGCTAGAGACTTGTTGAAGGTTGGAAGCTGCAGGTGAAAATGTCACTTGGGCTGTATTCCGTAGGGAATTTCTAAAGAAGTACTTTCCTGAAGACGTTCGTGGTAAGAAGGAGATTGAGCTCCTTGAGTTGAATCAAGGGAGTATGTCGGTTGTTGAGTATGCTGCAAGGTTTACTGAGCTGGCTAAGTTTTATCCGCACTACGGTGAGGAAAATGTTGAGTTTTCAAAGTGCATCAAGTTTGAGAACGGATTGCGCCCAGAGATCAAGAAGGCAATTGGATACCAGAAGATCCGTATCTTTGTCGATCTGATTGATAGTTGTAGAATTTATGAAGAGGATAGTAATGCTCATTACAAGATTATCAGTGAGAAGAGAGGGTAAGCACCAAAAAAATCATGGTAAGCCTTATGATATCCCAGTTGGTAAAGGTAAACAGAAAGTTGCTCAAGATCAGAGGACTAGTGGGGGAGATGCTCCTGTTGGTGTGGTTTATTTCAAATGTGGAAAACCTGGACATAAGAGTAATGTGTGTGCTGCTGAGGTGAAGAGGTGTTTTCGTTGTGGTAAGACTGGACACGTTGTATATGATTGCAAGCATAAGGAGGTGATTTGTTTCAATTGTGGTGAAGAAGGGTACATTGATAGTCAGTGTCAGAAACCAAAGAGGGCGCAGACCAGTGGTAAAGTGTTCGCTTTGGTTGAGGATCATACAACTACTGAAGACAGACTCATCAGAGGTACATGTTTTATTAATAATACTCCTTTAATTACTATTATTGACACCGGTGCTACTCATTGCTTTATTGTTGCTGATTGTGTTGAAAGATTGGGTCTTATGTTATCTTCTACCAACAGAGAGATGGTCGTCGATACTCCAGTCAAGGGGTCGGTGACTACTTCTTTTGTGTGTTTAAAGTGTCCTTTGACGATTTTCGATAGAGATTTTATTGTTGATTTGGTTTGTTTGCCTTTAAGAGCGTTGGATGTGATTCTGGGTATGAACTGGTTAGAGCATAACTATGTTCATATTAACTGTTATAACAAGTCTGTGAGGTTTTCTACTCCTGAGGAAGAGGAAATTGGCATGTTGTCTGCTAGGCAGTTGAGGAAATTAATGTAAGAAGAGGCTCAGATGTTCTCATTGATGGTGTTGCTATCTGTCGAGACTCAAGCTATAATTGAGAAATTGCAAGTGGTGCGTGAGTTTCCTGAAGTTTTCCCTGATGAAATTCCTGATGTACCGTCAGAGAGGGAAGTTGAATTTGCTATTGATCTTATACCTGGTATCAGACCTATGTCTATGGCACCATACAGGATGTCTGCATCCGAATTGTCAGAGTTAAAGAAGCAATTGGAAGAGTTACTTGAAAAGAAGTTTGTAAGATCAAGTGTATCACCGTGGGGAGCTCCAATGTTGCTAGTAAAGAAGAAAGATGGAAGTATGAGGCTTTGTGTTGACTATAGACAGTTGAATAAAGTGACGATTAAGAACAAATATTCGCTTCCAAGAATAGATAACTTGATGGATCAATTGGTGGATACTCGTGTGTTCAGTAAGATTGATTTGAGATCGGGTTACCATCAGATTAAAGTGAAGGATGAAGATATCTAGAAGACGGCTTTCAGAATGCGTTATGGATATTATGAGTATTCGGTGATGCAATTCGGTGTTACTAATGCGCCGGGAGTATTCATGGAATACATGAACCGTATCTTTCATACTTATTTGGATCGGTTTGTAGTGGTGTTCATAGATGACATTTTGATTTATCTCACCCAAGGGAATGCTCGATACCATGACTGAGACAAGCGTACAAGCAAGTTCGCCGTGGAGATGATTCAAGGGAAAAACAACGCTCGACATCGCGGTGGTTCCTCGAATACGAGAACATCGAAAGATAATTCGTGGAAGCTCCTCGTAACTTATACGTTCCTCTCAAACAACAGACATACACCTGAGCCGGTTGGTCTCGCTGCTCGTTTGTTCACAAGGTTCTCGACATTGTGCAAATAGGCTATCCTCGGAGAGGGCAACGCCTCGCTCCCCTTCAAAGGAATCCAACCTGCACTCTCGAGACAATTCTCTCCGTCCAAAACAACTGAACTCAAGTCATCACCCTTCCACCAAAGAGTAATAACTTAGGGGGCTCCTGATCTGGACTGGGCCTGAACTTATCCTACAGTTGATAGGCCCAATCTAGCACCTTTGTATAAGGCCCAATCCAGCATCCTTGTATAAGATCCAAGGGCAAGCAATCCAAACTAAGGATCGGTGGGAAGCTCCCCACACACCTGTTGGGGGACACGACCCACGCTGTAGGGGAACATGGCCCACGTTCTCACCAATGTCATCATAACTGCCCTCCGAAAATTTAGGGTCCAACCCATTCTCACAGAGCAGTTGATCAGGGAAGAGTCCACTTGTTGGACTCCATACACACGTAAGCCCTAACAGTCCTCCTTGATTGAGCCTCGTCGTGATCCAACATTGTGGACCTTGATCCAGCGCTAGGGACTATAAATACCCTCTCATCCGAGAGGACAAGGTATTCATTCTGACATTCTTATACACTTGCTTACACTCTCCTTGAAACTGACTTTGACATTGAAGTGTCTTGTAGATACCCCTCTCCCCACTTCACATTCAATAGCTGCCCAACTCGGAGTTCTCAGGCCTTGACGATCCGTCTGGTCAGTGACGATAAAAAACTATCAGCTTTTTTTTAAAGGGGTGTGAGTTTCAAGTTTTATTCTTATTTTTGCCAACATATTTACTATTTGTTATCAAGTAACTTTTTAATTGTCCATTGTAAAATAATTTTTCAAATAGAGTTTCAAAGTATTTTAAAAACAAAATCAATTTTACTTTTAAAAAATTTAAAAATTTAAGATACCAAAATCAATTTTATATCGCTCCTCTAAATTCAACTTTAAATATCCAAAAGTGATACAATCATACCCTCAATAATCAACTTCTTCATAGCTACCTTACCATACTTTCGGTTGACAGTTATTTTACCCTGCCTTAAGGCATGAAGGATTGGCTTGACACTTTGAACTTGTGAGACAATAATATACACGAGGCTTAGGTTCATAGCTCATATATCTAATATTAGCTGTTTTCCACTGATTTTGCGTCCACTGTCCTATAGTATAAAATTAACTCGTGACTCAAGCAATAGTAACACATTCATATGCCGTTAAAGTGGATAATCATACACATGTTTCTCCCCTTTACAGTTCAAACTTTTAATTTTAGCAATAATTGGCATCACAACTCAACCATCTTCCTCTCCCTTACAGCAACCACCCATCTATTGGAGGTAGGTACCCCAAAATGGTACCTCCATTTCAAGCAATTACCAGATTTGGATAATACTGTAATGTTTTTCTAGTAGAATTTGGTATAGCCATAACCAAAATCAATGAAACCAAATAGAATGAGAGAACAAACAAGTACTATATCTTAATCCTCATCATCATCTATAAAAACTAGGATCCCAAATACTAGCAAGTTTTCTTTCAAAAAAACACACAGAAAGACATAACCATGCTAAGAGTAATCAAATAAACAAAAGTTAAAGCACTTAAAAAGAACCAAACCCACTAATATTGAGAAAAGTGCCAAACCCAAAAGGGTTTTAGAACGAGATTATGCTCCTTCTTTCACCTTTTCTATAGGATAATCATATATTCCATCTCACTTTATAGTTTATACCCATTAATGATTCTCTTTACATACCTTTCAGCAAAAAAACAGCATACTACTTCTCTAAATGCATGAACCAAAATGGGGACCCCAGAAACAAATATTCCCAACTCAACAAATCATCATCATCATCATCATCATCATCATCATCATCATATATAGATTTAGATTAGATTAGATTACCTATTTTAACTACAAATCACTACCATTACCATTACTGATAAATCTATCTATCTATGACAATAACAATAAACAGAAAAGAACAAGAACAAAACTCAATCCTTCTCAATGCATCATTCTGTTTCTATTACCTTCCACCAACCAAACGTGCACAATCATTAAGCATAAAAAGATAAAAAAACAAAACAAAAGTAGTGAAAAGCAGTTACATAATTTTAAGCAAAATAAAGGAAGCGTTTGGATTTGGATTACATTTTGGTACATAATATAACATTTATAAAGATAAAAATAAAATTAAAAAGAGGTAACAAACCAGTGCTACATTCATCATTCATGTTATGGTAACAATAAACAATCAGCACCTGATTCAACCAATTTAGTTCTTCTTCTTTTTTAAAACATAGTAATAATAATAATAATAATAATAATAAAATAAAAACAAAAAAAAAAGATACATGAACTAAGAAGAAAGTGGCCTTGGTGGAGGAAGTAGTTGATGAAGATTTGGAGGACTCTGATTCTGATGAGAAACGTTTCGAGCAAGAAAAGGATGCGAAAGCAGCCTCGAAGCCGGCCATCTCCTCGACGGATCTCTCTGCAAACACCGCGAAACGAAATCCCTAAACTCCGGCGAAGCACTCGTCGGAGCTTCCGGTGGTTGCGACATACAAATAGCACACATCAAACTAGCCCAATCACCTTGTCTACCAACCGCAAACGGAAATCTCCCCATATAAAACTCCAATATACTCACACCTAAACTCCATATATCGCCGGCGTAAGCATCGTATTGTCCGTCGTTGATATCAGTGTTTATCCTCTCCGGCGACATGTAAGCAATCGTTCCTACCGATGAATTACACGGATCCATCGTTTGATTCAGAATCCTGCCAACACCGAAGTCAGCGATCTTCACCTGTTTCCGCGAATTGATCAACAGATTCGACGGTTTGATGTCTCGATGAACGATATGACGACGGTGGAGATAAGCGAGTCCACGGAGGATCTGACGCGCCACGTCAGCAAGTTGATTCTCCTGAGGGATGTGTTTCCCTTCCAGAGAACCACCGTCCATATACTCCAACAGAACCTGAATTTCAGCGTTGTGATCGTACATCTCGTGACACTTCACCACGTTCGGATCATCAACATCTCTCAAGATCTGGATTTCTCTATGGATCTGACGACGGACAGACTCCTCGTGATGACCGTAAATCACCTTCAACGCGTACGCACGGCCGTTGATTCTGTGAACTACTTTATAAACCGTTCCTCCGCTTCCGCTTCCGATCCGGTTCAGCCTCTCAAGCTCGGAGAACGGAATCACTAGTTGCTGATTCTGATTCGTTCCTCCTCCGTTCCCTCCTCCACTTCCGTTTCCTCCATTTCCGCTTCCACCGCTACCGCTACCAGAAGGAGGAAGCGGAAGCGGAACGGCTAAGTTTGTGTCTCGCTGTGGAAGCGGAAGCGTAAGGTCTCTGCGGCGGCGCTGAGGACGGTTAGGAGAACCTGCAGCTGAGCCGGTGGCGGTTGGAGGTGGAAGCTGAATCGGCTTCATCTCATTTCTTTCTCTCTAATACCAAAAAAATATTAATAACTAAACCAGTTTAGTTTGAGATTAAAATTAATTATAATAAGAGGAAAGAGGAAAGGTGGGTTCATAAATCATATAGGAGTATATGAAATGAAAAAGATGAAAATGATGTGATAGAGAGAAACCATGGCAACGGAAAATTGGTGAAAGGAGTGAAGAGAAGGTTCCGGGAAGTGTGAGAAGCGAAACGAAAATTGATTTGATTTTATGATTATCAAAAAAATAAAATAAAAGAGGGAAAGGTTCGTTGGTTCTGTAATAATTTGACAGAGAAAACAAAGTATATATAAATAAATATTAATAATAATAATAATAATAATAATATTATTATTATTATTAATTAATTAATTAATTAAATAAAAGGAAAGTAATTTTGAGCTGAGCTTGAGAGGTGGAAGTGAGAGGTTGCTATCAAAAGAGGGAATCGAGATTTAAAAGAGATGGGGTCCACGCGCCTACAGAGCCCGTGAGAAACGTGGACCAATAAGAAATCGGCACTGTTTTTTATGCGTTGGGTTGAGTGTCGAGGGTGTAGCCTATAACTTTTCTAGTACATCGTTGGATCACTTCACTCATGTCTATATTGTAGAAAGAGTTATAAAAATGGGAAAATTTATAATTTAAATTGTTTCTAATTTTTCAAATAGAAAAATATTCATAGGATAAAAAATTTACAAATATATTATTCATAACATAAAAAAATTATATAGATATCTATATTCGTTGATTAGTTCTAGAACTTTTTTAATATGCATTATTGAAACTTTTAAATTAATTGTAATTGTCAAATATTAAAATAAATCTTTTGAAAATTGTACTTTAACATAATATTTATATATGATTGTGAGAGATTGATACTATATAATTTTTACATTCAAAATATATAAGATTAATCTCTTATTTTCTTGATATTTATTTTTATATCAGTTACATTTTATTAACAATTAAATTGTATAAATATTTTATAAGCTAAAATTTATTTAATATTTAGAATTTATTTAATCAAATAATAGATCAACTAATGTGTATGTTGTTAAAACATCAACCAACTTCTCTTAATATAGAAGAATAATTTTTGAAAATATACATATTAAATTAATATACTAGTATGCTAATATTCAAGTCCCGATTATCTGCATTTTTTCCACCAAATTAATTATATGATATAATATATAAATATTAGAAGATAATGGAATGGAAAAAAATTAATTGTAAATAAAAAATTAAAAAGAAATATTTGAAACAACAATAAGCTACACTAAAATGGTGTTTCACTTTTATATGTTATTAAAGATACAATTGTAGTAAATTCTAAATACAATGAATTTGGATCTAATTGAGTCACTGACAATGTTTTAAAAATTAAATTAAAAAAAATCATTAAAATATGTGAATCAGAGATTAATCGATTTAATCAATTAAATTGTGATTGAACTGTATATTGAATTTAAAATGTAAAAATAAATAAATATATTGTTAAACATTCTAATAAAATTAATTTATAATATAATTTGTAAAATAAATTTTTTAAAATAAACACGATACTAATAAACAAGCATACAAAACAAGAAGAATGTAATATAAATCGCAATAATAAATCAAAAAATTAATTAAGGATCAATATTTATATATTTATTTTAATTGCTTAATTTAAAACCACGAATTTTTTGTCAGTTTAAATTTTCATATCTCTTCTAAAACCAACAATAGATATCTCATATCTATAAATATTATATTATTTCTTCTCTTTCTATTTGTATTTACACTGTCTCATGTCTTTCAAATTTATTCTTTATTTTTTATTTATGCAATGTTAAATGTTAGCTATAATTAATTTTTTAATTTTAAATAAAAAAATAAAATAAAGTAAAACATACACTAAAATTATCTTTAATTTTTAAAATTGTCTAACTCATCAAAATCGGTCTCGATTTTACCGTTATTTTAATTTTTCGTGATTAAAACAATTTTATTCCAATTTTATAAATCTAACATTTATTAGTCCAAACCAAACTGAATTATACAATAGTTCAAAGTTGAACTAATTCAATTCAATTTTTAAAACATCGATTAGAATCTACTTCATCAAAACAAAAAATTAATTATTTAAATTGTTTTTTAATTTTACAAATGGAAAAATATTCATAGGATAAAAAAAATTATATATTATTATATTATTTTGGGTTAACTAAATTAATTGGTTATAAGTTCTAGATTTTTTTTAATATGCATTATTAAAGTAAATGTAAATTAATTGTAATCATTAAATATTAAATCATATTTTATTTTTCTTTTATAAAATGAAAAAAATAATATTTATAGTTCATTATGATAGATTCACACTATAAAACTTTTTACAAATATTAACAATCAATGCTACCAATGTCATTTTATCAATAATTAAATGGTATAAATAATTTAAAAACTAAATTTTATTTAATATTTTGAACTTATTTAATAAAACAACATAAAACTAATTAACAACCGCGACAACGAATGTGTCCATTGTTAAAACATCAACTAGCTTCTCTAAATAGGAAAAATATACGAAAACTTTTGTGCTCATCTAACTGCGTTTTTGTGTATTCTCATGTGAAATGTAAACACTATTTTTTTCTTTAGTTTTGATTTAATTTTAATTAATTATTAATAAAAAAATAAATAGTAGAAGATAAAACAATGAAAAACACTATGCCAAAATGGTTTTTCTCTTTTATATATTATTATAAATATAATTATAATAAATTGTAAAAGCAATAAAGTTGCGTCAAGTTACAACCTTACTTCATTTGACAATGATCTTTTTTTCATTTTTGTTGTAATTTTTTGTAAAAAGCAAAAATTAATAATATATAGCACTCTATTTATCAAAATGATAAATAAAAAAGTTAAATAATACAAATTAAATAGTAATTACGAAAGACAAAATAAAAAATGGAAATTAATGACAAATTACTAAATAAAAGTGAACTAATTTAGTACTATAATTCCTTTCTTAATAGAGAAAAATATATTTAAATTGAATATATAAAAAAGTAATTAATACTCTTTTTATCTTGTATGTTAACTTTACGGTTTATTTTAGTTATTTTTATTAAATAGCGATAAATTTAAGTATTAAATTCAAAAAAATTCTGTCTTCATAATAGATGAAAATAAGTTAATATATTACATTCTAATGAGTTAATCTGGTGATTAATACAGAATTAAAAAAGATATTAAACCAAAAATAATATAACTTGTTGAATAGAATCGATGACTAAGCTTTATCCCAGAAGACGAGGGATTTTTCTAAGGGACATTGTGTGGTTGGGTTAGGTTGTTTTAATGGTTGGGAAGACCGGTGTTTATTCTGCCTTCGGTTTTGTCTGTGTTTCAGACATTCTAAGAGTTAGGTTGGGGTAAGAAATTGACTTTGTGTTTAGCGTCGATCTGGCAGACAATGATCTACACTATTTGAAACATGTGTAATAAAAAATCATGAAAAGTAAATAAGTTTTTACAGTGTTAATCAATTCTTTCTTTATTTTACAAATGGACAATATTCATAGGATTAAATATCTATTATATTATTTTGTGTTAAGTAAATTATATGATTGAATATTTCTAGAATTTTTATAATATGCACTGAGAAAATTATATTTTTGAATGTCAATTATTTGTAATAGTTTAATATTAAATTATATTATATTTTTCTTTTAATAATATCTAAAATAATACTTATAAATGATTGTACAAATTGATATTATGAATTTTACATTAAAAATGTATAATCATTAATCTTTTAATTTTATTGATATTTACTTTTATACCAATGTCATTTTATTAATAATTAAATTGTATAAATAATTTAAAAGGTCAGATTTATTTAATATTTTGAATTAATTTAATAAAGCAACATATAATTAATTAACAATAAGTTAATGAATGTGTGAGTCGTTAAAATTTAAATATTGATCGTATTTGATCAAAAGAGATTGTCAAAGTCCACGAGCTTTGAGTCGAGAAGTGGTTGAACGTGAAGTGGAAGTACGTGTAAGACACTTTGATGTCAAAGTAAGATTCAGAGCAAGTGTAAGTAAAAGATGAGAGTATAGGTGAATGAATGAATACCTGACTCTCTCAAGTGAGAGGATATTTATATCTCCCAGCGCTGGACCAAGGTCTCCATATTGGACTAATAGGGCATGTCCAAAATGAAGACTGTCAGGTACTACGTGTGTAGTGGAGACCAACAAGTGGTCTCCAACCTGAATGAACCCCTCTGAATCATCATGAGGACGTGGACGTGGTCTCCTCGAGGTCAAGGGGGCTCCGGGATGTTCAGAGGCGTTAGAAGTTTGCCCTTTTAGGAGGATGCTCGTGAGGACCTCGTGAGCGTTGTTGGCCCTCCTCGCCATTCATGCGGTGAGATTGTCTTGGGGGACGTTTCCTGGTCGACGCGGTGAGTGGAGTCCCTGTCTGACATGGTCAAGAGAAGATTCTCTCCTGCTGAACTTCTCCTACATCATAGTTGGGTTGGACCTTGTATGATGTTTGGGCCAAACGTGAGCCCGATCCAGAACAGGAGCCCGCAAGTCGTTGCTCCTGAGGTAATGAGCTATGACTTAAGACCAACGTCCCTGTATGGCGAGCATAGTTTCGTCGAGGGATGGGGTCATTTTTATATGTGGTTACTCAAACGAAAATTAGAATGTGTTCTCGGGGAAAATTTATCTGCTCCTCGACTCGCGGGGAGACGAAAGTTTGCAGGATGTTCACTTTGTAAGCCACGTGGTGTAGCTTTTAGGGAGTAGGGGTCATTATGACCTTGAACACGTGGGAGGCAGTGAGACGAATAATTGTCACGCCTGCTTGACGCGACGCTTCGTCTTCCGCACAGGTCTTATAAATAGTGCCTCAAGGGCTCAATGGTAATGTTTCCACATTCTTGTCATCTCCCCTCTCTCTCTATTGTCCTTAGTCTTCTATCGCCCTTAACTTCCTTCTTCGCTGTGAACGCCTCCGCAACTTCCACCGCATAAACTCTACCGACCTTGATCAAGTAAGTGTTTTTTCTATAATTATTCTTGTTTATAACTGGGTTTTGCGTTTTATGGAAGTTTCTAGAGGGGTTTCCTCGTAAAATTTATGGATTTCTTGATGAATTTCACCATTTGTGAGGTTTTTCCTTGAGATATTCACGCGGGTCTTCGTGATACTCACAAATTAGTCCGTGAAACTCATCTTCTCCTTGCAAAACCCATGAAACTTCTTGGGAAACTCACCCCCTTCCTCGCGACGTTCATGGGATTGCTCGGGAGATGCATCCCGTCCTCGTCATCTTTATGAGGTTGCCCGAGAGATTTATATTTTCCTCGTGGCATTCATGAGTTTTTCTATTTTTACTGAACGAGGGTTTGTCGGCCTGGTTTGGTCGTAGCAACCCCCTTTCACCTGTGTTGCGGTGGAAGGGTGGATTTGACTTAGCTGTCGAATTCACTAGTTTCCTTCGCTTTACATGGGAAATGGCCGAACCCGTCGAGAATCCCGAGCTGATCGAGATAGAAGAAACGGGTGGAGCCGACGAGGGTCTCCACTTGATCGACACCATCACTGATCTGTCATTATCCTAGGTCGGGTCAGAGTCTCGAGGAATAGCCTCGGTTTTTAGCAACGCAAGGAGGGAGGCGTATACCGTCGTCGAATATGGTGGTGACCACGAGGGTTTCAGGCTAAATTTCATGATCTTTCGCCCGACACCTACGGCCAGGATTTGCTCGACCTTCCAGAAAGATCGCTTACCTATGTACAAAATTGTCTTCAGGGATCTGGGGCTTCGCCTTCCCTTCAGTGACTTTCAAATGGGGATCTTTAATCGTTTGTCCTTATCGCCCTCTTAACTGCATCCTAATGTGATTGCTTTCATACGAGCTTTTGAGATTACCTGCCGATACTTGAGGATTAGGGCGATGATTCCCTTGTTTTTCAGGGTTTTCCACCTTCAACAACAGTCTCGGAGAGGAAAACATAGTTGGGTTTCTTTCAAACAGTCCAAGAGGTTGTTCCGGATGTACATGGACTATGTCAGTGACTTTAAAGATAAGTGGTATGTCGTGCAACCTTCAGTCCAAGCGGGAGTGGATGCGGTGTTCGACCCCATTTCCATCATCGATGAGGAAGGGGAAGTTTGTTATGATGAAGATGAGAATGAAGAGATCGGGAGGCTCTCTAAGTTCCCTATCCATTAGTATCGGGTTCACTACGACCATGCTCCTGGCCACTATCATACTTCCGCTGGAAGCATGGGCGCCGAGGATGAGGAGGCCTTCGGCATTTTTAACAAATACGTTGATGGTTTTTTTCCTCCCGGTGGGTGACGAGGGAGGGAGATGACATTCTTGATGAAGACAACGAACTTATGTTCGATCCCCGCTCGATCAACACTAAAGAGCTTGTTGAATGTCTCTCCTACGGGGACGCCATGGCTCTTCTAGGTCTCTTCCCGAGTGACTCTATTATATTATGTTTTTAACTTGTTTCGGGTATGTCCCCCTTAGCAGTTCTAACTCGAGAATATTGTTTTTGTTTTTGTAATTAATATGGCCGAGCGTCGTGAACGTTTGCTGAATTTGACCCGGGACAAGAAGGGAAGCAAGAGGATGGTGAATCCTAACCAGCCTACGCGCCTTGGCCTAATTCTCGAGCAGGCTAAGGATGGGTCAAATAGTTTGTCAGGGCCTCGAGATCTTGCTCAGCGCACGACCGTGTTAGGAAAGAAGCGGGGTCGCCCTGAAAGCGAGCATGTGGGTTTGACAGACGATGGGTCAGTTGCTCGGGCCTTTACCTTTCCCCCTTGCTCGTCAAAAAGTACTTCTTCGAAGGTT